AGTGCACTGCGACCATTGCTTTAGGAATGGAACCGGTTCTGTGCTAGAAGCAGAGAAACAGAAATGGAAGCTGAGCTCTGGGTACAGACAGCTTCCAGGGCACACGTACCGTTGAAACAGAGATGCAGGCCCTACTAGACTCCGTCCTGCCCAGAACCATCTGTCAGGGCACATTCAGTACCTGATGGAATAGGGTCTTCTTCCCATGCCTAAGCAGGCAGAAACACCCCCTAGAAAGCCAAAGAGACAACCCCAAAGTCAATGTTTAGAAGAAATACAGTCAATCCTATCTCCCTTCCTGCGCTGGGAGGTGTTCAACCTGCAAGAGACCTGCTCTGTGGAGCATCAGGCCCAACTTGAAGGCAAATACCCAAAGGCCAAGTCTAATTTTTTTTTAGGTAAAATTTTACTCCAAGAAGAATCGTTATCTTAAGTCTCCCATCAGAAGACTGAGTTTTAATATGAAGTTCCACATAATTCTCCAAATTAGAACCATCTATCATGAATAGCCATCAGATCCTTAAGTCTCACCTACCAAAAACCTCTACCTCTCACAGGCCCTGAAATCTGTGACACTCAGCTCTCCAGTGACTCAAGCCAGGAGAGACCAGCGCCCCCTCTTGACACGCGGCTGCCAAGCACGTGACAGCCCAGAGCTCCCGCGCACAGGTCATACCACTTCCTAACTAACCTGCCCCAAAGCCCTGTAGCAGACCAGGAGTCTTGTAAACCCAGTAGCATTTTCTCATTAACTGACAAGTTCAACTTTTACTATCAGTTTGTCTTCGATAACTCAGCTTTGTTTGTCTGTGATTGATTATCCTTTAAATAAAAGAAACTCTGCAAGGTAAATATTAACACCATCTAGAGCAACAGCAAGTAAGGGCTCCTGTGACCAGAAAGCAACAGTGCTCTGCCAGGTCCTGCTCGACAGTGTGGTCTGATGAGGTCTCACTGGCCGGTGGCTCTCCTGCTGCGTGACACCCCGAGGTCTGTGGGGCCTTTGGCCCTGGCCACTGACACAAGGCCCAGCTGCCCGGGCTGATGAACCCTGAGCACATTCTTATGGCATCATCTGCCCTCACATCACACGGCATGACCACAGCACTATGGAATATCTTGGGCTGACCATCCACTAATTTTCACTGATCTGTCACTAAGAGGAACATTACTGAACTGTGACTGAATGAAGCAACGGTTTCATTTAAATCAAATGGCAAGCCTGCAAGCGGGGGCTTTAGGGTTACAGCAGTGTCAGAGACTGTTCGGTGCTCACTTCTTGCTCCGGGCGCTGTGCTGAAGTACATGTATCACCAAGAAATGCTTCCGAAGGAAGCAAATCAGCTTGGAGAGCTCAGCCTGTGTGGGAACCACAGCAGCCCTGAGCCAGGGCCGTACAGACATGCACTGGGTATGGGTGGCAACAAGCCAGAGCACAGACGCTCAGAACTGGGAGCTCAGCTCTGAAAACAGAAGTATTATTTACCACACGTACTTGGTTCTGTTGTTGGAGAGGACAGGAGAAGGGAAGAGAGGGGAAGGGGAGGGAGAGAAGAGGGCAGAGGAGGACGGCGGAGGGGAGGGAAGGAAAGGGAAAGAAAAGGGACACAATGGCCCAGGAATGAGGACCACATGGAAACAAGACACGTGTCAGGCAGTATCAAGAAGCACCAGCACTGCAAGAACCACTGAAAGCTGCTGGGCTGAACCCCTGTGGGCCGAATGGCTCCTGGTTGTACAGAGATGGCCACAAGTCTCCTAGATACTCTTAGACCGCGACATTGACAAGGATGCATTCTCACCAGCTGGGCAGGACACACATGTCCATGAGAAACACCAAGGCTTATATTTTCCCAGAGATAGGACATCTAGGCTTGAGTGGCCTCACTACTGCCTGTGCTAGGGAACAGGGTGAGTCCATTTGGTGCCATAAAATCTGTACAAATTCATTAGGAGCAACACCTTCTGGCCTGGCTAATGTTCCTAATAAGGAGATGCCCTTCCATTTTCCCCAAATAGTGATTCTTATGGAGACATAGGTTATAGTGGGACTCCTAGGGGAGCTCGTGACATTCCCCCAGCAACAACAAATGAAACTGTCACATCACTAATACACCCTAGCTGCAGACACTACAGCAAACATCCAGAAAGCTGTGACCAGGAAAGCTGTACTCCCGCCCCTGGTACTGCCCCGCTTTCTTTGCTTCCTGGCTGCTGTGACACGAGCAGCTTTCTTCCACTAGACCTGTCACCGCACTGTCTCTGCCTTGGAACTAGCCCACCATGAACTGAACCCACTGAAACTGAAACAAAATAAACCTCTCCTTCTTTACATTGTGGGTATCAGGAATTCTGTCCCAGAGATGGGAAAGCTGACTGCTGCATGATCATTTTCTCTAAAAATGAGATAACTGGTTGACCATAGTGAAGATCCAGTTTCAAAAAAATACATATTTTGAAGAAGAAAATGGAATACTGATTTTGCATTTCCCTTCTGGGGGAGAGTGGCGACTCAGAGGCCCACATATTACCTTCTCATTCCTCTGCCTCACTGAAGGCAGCTGATGTCCTCCTGGCCTTGGTTAGATTTTGCTTGAATTCCACACTCCCAAGGATTTTAACATTGTCCTAGTTGCTGAGTAGTCTGATGACTTTCATCGGGCATGCGGGTAATTGTTGGCAACCCTCCCCACAGAACCTGATGGCATGTATCTCCATCTCATCCCTTCAAATGGTCTCCTCAGGTCTCCATATGTCCCCATGGATTTCTTCTGGGACAAAAGTCAGGCCACCAGCAGGGTGCTTAGTAAGGGGGATGGTACCCTCCCATAGGAGTAACGAGTGAGAAACTGTCAGCCAAAACTGACCGGTGGACTGACGAAAGCAGAACTTTGAACAGGGACAAGTGTAGGTCAGAAATAGCCAGGCTATGAAGTGCTATCTTTAGGGAAGAGGTGAGAGGTCCACAGCGGACAGGGGGTCCACCATTTCCAGACATACCTCAGGCACATCAGGCAACTCTGTATGGAATGAAGGTTTGCTCATTTTCAAGCCACTGTTTTGTCATCTTTAAAAAGCTAAAGTTAGGACATTGTTCCCCTTACACATCTTTAAAAAGCTAAAGTTAGGACATTGTTCCCCTTACACTAGGACAGCTAGTTCCAAGGCAGAGATCCCGAGGAGGAGAGCCTGCATGAGGGTAGCTGCTCAGTGGCACAGCCACAAAGTTCACTTTCTGCCACTGCTGTTTGCTACACAGATTGAGAATTGAGGATGAGACAGGGGAGGTAGGCCATTCAAATGAAGCATGCTTGGGAGGACATAGTATGGTCTTGCAAATCCACTGATGGACTGAATACACATGTCACAAGCTTTTGTCCTATTTAACATCAAGGAAAACTACTTTTTCAGATCTCTCTAATGTTTTTCCTTGGCAAAGCTACCCCGAACTCTTAAAATAAGATGAGCTAATTAAAATAGACAGATTTAAATTTCATCCCCATGTATTGTAATTTAAAAAAATTAAATTTGGGAAAAGATGACTTGGGGGAAAATATAGGAGATTTAAAAGATCTTAGAAGGTAAGGATGCTACCTTTGTCCTTTTATTTATATAATGACTCCAACAGATGACATCCCAGCATGTATGTGTATGTATGTGTATATGTACATGTACATGTATAATAAATAGGAAGTAGGGAGATTTTTTCCAAATGGATAAGGAAATAAGCAATGAAGGGGAGGAAGAGAGATGAGAGGGAAAGGAAATGGAAAAAAAGAATTTAAGGGAAAAAGAAAGATGAAAATAGAGCTTTTGAAAATGAGAATGAGAACAAGAGTTGGAGGGAACAGGGAGGGAGAGAAGGGTGGGAGTATGAAAAAGAGAGAAGAATGACGCACCAACTCCACACAATAAGTGTGAGCACTATGCAGGCATGTACTAATAGATTCTAAAAAGTAATAACTACAAACAGTAACTACAGGGAGTGGGCACCAGCGCCCCTCGGCACTCCTTCAGTCTGGCAGAAAAAGACAAGCCCTCCCGCACCCAGTGAGCCCACGGTCCACTCAGCACCAGCGTAGTCCAAGCTTCAGAAGTTATTATAACATGTTGAAAGTTCCATGATTTCTACAGCAACAAACTCTGGAGAAAAATTTCTATCATAACTAGAATAAATCAAATCCTGTGCTTGAAAGAAAAAGCAACAAAATAAAAAGCAAAACCAAATCTAGAAAACAAAATTGTAAATACGAAAACAAAAACTTCAAGTTAAATGAAATTAGTAAGCAAAACATTCAGTCCAAAAGATAAAGAGCTAAAGGATGAAAACAGCTGATTCAAAGTGAGGTATTCATTATCGGTAATGAGCCTGAGAGAGCAGACAAATATCAACAACCAAAGCTGCAAGAAAACAGACGAAGCGACTCTGCGATTTCGGTCCACATCAGAGCCCTTCTCAGTAACAGGACGAATGATCTGCCTTGAGAAAATAAACCCAGACACAGAAAACACTGTATACCCAATGATGAGCACCAAAACATAGCACCAAAGTCCTGGAAACAATCTAAATGTTCACTATAAACAGGACCACAATCCAAAAGGAAGAGAACAAGTTTTCAAAGCCACTTCCTCACTTTACTGTGTGAAGGCAGGACTGGTCCAGAGAGCGGCCTTGTCCTCTGCCTCCTCCCGCCTCCCCCGGCCTGCAGAAGGAGGAAGGGAAGAAGGACCAGACTGCGGCAATACGTGATATAGTGAAAACAGCAAGTTAACAAAACACCTACCCAGTACATAAGGACCGCACTCCCTGAATTCAAGATTCAACCTTGAAGAGACAAAATTAAACTGATTTGCCAATACTCAAGTTTAGTATTTAATTTACATACAGCATTAGACATGATAAAATGTTGCCAACATAAAGTCGTCCAGATACAAAAGATAGAGGCAAGGCTGCAGGCAACAGAGAAACAAAGCCCTGCCCCCGTGCCAGGAGACCATACCTGGGGAGCCGCTGGGTTGAAGGCCACCGTGGTGATGGTGTCTGTGTGCCCTGCCAGCCGCTGGTAGAAAGTACTGGAGCCCAGCTCATACAGGTAGGCCTAAAAGACAAGAAGGCAGGGATTCCGTGTTGGCTGAGAGCCGTGACCAGCTGCAAATCACAAGAGAAGTGTAGTCTGCAGCGGAGCCTTTGTCGTGGAGGTCACCGGGCCACCTGACGCAGTGCCAGTCATGTCCAGAGTCAGTTTTGCCAAGCAGCTGTACAACCTTTCCCCTAAAGTCTCAGACTGAGGGCGAAAATCGTTATAGTGTCTTTCTCAAGAAAGTGAGAGAGAATTGGTTATACTATGCTTTGTTTACAACTACTCATTGTGGAATTTCAGCATTCAAACAGACTCTAGAACTACGGATTTAAAATTTCCTCTCTGATGGAGTTACTAGATATTACATATGCCTATACAAGTCATGGATTGCATAGTCAGAGTTGCCACAAAATACTTCATTTTAGGGGAGAATAATGAGTTGAGATGCCATAAGAGGACCTCAGAGGTGAGTCCTGCTCCCACAAAATCTGCCCACAAAAGAGAGTGCATCTCACAGTGTTTCAGAACCAGCCCTGGCCATCTCACTGGCTGTCCGTCATGGCTGATCCACAAGGGACAGCAGGGAAGTGAGAGGGACTGGCTGGGGCAGGCCATGGTCATTTCTAATCCTGAGGACGGGGTCAAGGCCAATGCTGCTTCCCATTGGGTACTGAGCTCTCTGCTGTACCTGCCTTTCCTCCCTACAGCCCCACAGAAGAAATACAACTGCTGACCAAGGACACAAAGACCATGGCTGAGTGGCAGCAACTTCTTGAGGCCACACAGTGGCCAAGATTCGACCCACAACAGCGCACTCCATGATACGATGCCTCTGCCCCACCCAGCAACAATCCCCCATTCCTGGGCTTTGTCACTTGTCGCCCTGTTGCTTTATGTGCACTCATGCGTGCCAAACACCTAAGGTCTCATCAGGATGGAACAACCACTTTGGAAACCTATTTGTAAATTTGCAGGCAAGTTCAACGTACAGACCTTGACCAGCCGTCTTGCTCCTCAGGACTTCCTAAGAGAAACGACACCTGTGTCCACACAAAGACATGCAAAAAAAGCCATAATGATTTTATTCACACAAGTCCAACACACAACCACTTCACACCCTATATGAAAACTGCATGACAATTACAGCTAAATGAAGTGAGGAACACACAGACATAGCAAGCACGCACACCACACCCTGTGACTCCCAGGCTGCTGACAGGGAAGACACAACTTCCTGACCTTCTGATGTCTGTTTTGGGAGGAGACAAACCCAAGTGTCCCTTATGAGAAAGAATCAGGAGATTTGAGATAAAAAGTGGAAACAAAGCCAGGTGCAGATGTAGGCAGGGGCTGGCAGGGCATATCCTGCAGCCTGTCTGTCCTCAGGACCCCCAGAAAAGCCAACCTGCTGACCACGAGTCCAAACTCCTGGCCCCCAGAACCACAAGAAAACAGCCTCTGTGGTTTGAAGCCTGTGACGCTGTGGAAATGTGGCACTGCAGCCCTAGAAAGCTAAACAAGAACTTGTATGGGTCAAGGACAAATGAGTGTCTATTAGCATCTTCTCCAAGTCGTCCATCACAAGATGTGTGTGCAGAATGTCTAAAAGCGTTGGAGGGGAGCAATGGGCAATTTCACCGGAATAAGGGATCTAAGTTATAAAAGCAATTTCACAGCATGATCTTGTCTTATTGATTCACATTTTAATCTCATAAGTCAAAGAAAATACACCACATAATACAAGGCCTTTTCAGAGTATATACTTTGCGTTTGCAAAATGATTAATAGATGAATGAATTAGGGAATGCTTAGTGTTCATTGTGCATCATTTAAAAATTTGAGAGTTTTTCACACTGAGAGACTAAAGCACACATACATGTCTGTCCTCTGCTCCACAAGCCATGAACTGGCCACACGGACTGAGGGCCACTCCACACGGGTAGCAGCGGTTCGGGTGTCCTTGGAACCGACGCTCACACCTGTTGGGCAGAGAGAAATACCTGAATAGGACTCAGTTCTTCATCTTAGTGCAAACTGTAGGAGAAAGACCAACCTGCTTTCCCAACAAAAAGGAGCAAAGTAGTAGAGGAAAAGCTTCCCCCGCTCCACATGGTGCTGGAAAGAAAACCCAGGGCCCTGTACATGCTAGATAAGCATGCTACCACTGAGTCACATGCTGGAAAATATTGTATATGTGAGAATTATTAATTGGTAAGCAATTAAAGGGATCTTAAGAATAATTCAGATGCTTTTCAAATTCAGATTCCCAAAGATGTCAAACTAATAGTAAATGAATTTTTATATATGAGAAATACTAAATAATCATCTATAATAGATCATTAAAATGTAAAACCATACCTTCTGAATCATAAATTTTCTAGATAAATGATTCAAAAACTTTGAGGTTATAATCATCTAGTGGGAAGGGCTTAACCTTCCCAACCATCTATAAAGCACCATGTAAAATGTGCTTATTGTAAAACTGCTACTCTTCCTAACTAAGAAGAACGTCAACAAGCTAGGCCAGCACTGGGCCTGACACAGCCAGACAGGCCGAGGCGCGGGGGCAGGTCCCGTCCACACAGCACACACCAGGCTTTTGTTGGCAGGGCATATCCTGCAGCCTGTCTGTCCTCAGGACGCCCAGTAAAGCCAACCTGAGACTTCTTCCAGAGACGGAACAGCAGAGCAAGAACACAACTAACTGCACCATTGTGAATACCGCACCAAGTGTACAGTATTAATAGCATCGATGTTTTTACCCTGTATATACGTTGTACGGTGATTTTCCCCATGGTATAATTATAAGATTTTTTTGCTTAGAGAATATTTTATATTTTGTATATGTTTACAAAATACACTAAGTAATTTTAGCATGTTGTCCTCCCAAGGGGAGGAAAGCGACTCAAGGTAAACAAAGTAGGCTCGGCCTAGGGTGCCCTGGACCCTCCTCCCAGGATCGGCCTGACAACAGCACACGGGCAACAGTTCGACCAGGAGACCACATCCAGGGTGTTTCTGGTCAAGACACAGCCCCGCCTGCTCCTCTAGGCCTTAGGAGCCACACGAGACAGCACCATCTCACATGTAACCTACACGACACAACCTTGAGTCAGACTTGGCAGAGACGCTAGGTGTGCCACGGTGCTGTGACACAGGCCAGCCTCACCTCAGAGTCCTCAAGTCCCACAGCCCGACCCCATCACCAATGGCTGCCGTCAGGAAGAGATTGTACGCCTGGGATGGTTGAGTTGTAAATGATGATCCCTGTAATCACAAGGGGAAAGTCAAGATGTATTTTCAAAGGCAAAATGTGAAACCATTATTCTAGTGATAGCATCTGGATCTAAACACACCTTTTCTTACTTATAACGATTTCACAGTTGGACTCCAAAATTTCCACACAGAGTCATATACTGCCTGACTGCTGTTTGGTCACTGCCAGAGGGCATGTAGGACAGTGGCCCTCTGAGGATGTATCTGTCACCTAGTGACGTCGCAGCTGACTTGGTCTGGGCAAGCCCACTCTGTCACGTTCACACAGCACGAAGTCACCAGTAACCCAAGACTGTACTGACTGAAGACTTATTAATGTATAATGCATAGCCAGGGAGTCACAGAATTTTTAAAAAGTTAAAAGACTAAGATATTAACACACTCAAAATTTATCTTAAATACATTCATTTTATACATACATATATATATAGAGAGAGACATATATGTGTGTGAGAGTAAAGCTATTTCCACGAAATTATCTTGAAGACATTCTTGATAAGGCATTTAAAGCCAGTCATTTTTCTGCCCATGAACTCCAAGATGCATGAGCAGTGCCTATGATGGTGATCCACGGAGGCCAGACTACCTCAGGACATCAGTCACTGGCTTGTCTTTGGCCCACCTCTGAGCTCTCGCCTCCTCTGGGCAGCTGGCATCTACAGTTCACGCTCAGGGGCACTGGACCAAAATCCACCTACTGACCCACTTGGCTGCAACACCATTAGTACGTTGTGATTCATAATGACTTCCCTATTCCTTCTATGTCATGATGATCTAACTATGACAGATTTAATGAATGCTATCACTAAGCATTTGTGCTTAAAATACACTCAGTGTGATTCCTTATTTATAAACAGGAAGCAAAACCTTGTGTAAGTTCAGCAACTACCAGCTAGCACAGACCGAGGCTGGACTCTGCTAGAAGCACCCAGCACTGAATCTGCCCCTCCTCCTCTTAACCAACCTATAAACTACTTGACCTGCATCATAAACATGCACAGTGTCCCTGTTCATTGCCACAGCTCCTAGGCTCAGTGTACTGAACGCTTTAGAAACTGGGGCCGGGGAAGCAGAGCCCGGAAACGCAGAACGTAACACAAAGATAACACAGCAGACACTCAGTGAATGGTGAGAGACCACCTACTAAAGGCTGCACTGCGGGAGGCGCACACTGTGAACACACAGACCCGGACAGTCTCACTGACGGTGACACGCGGGCAGCACAACCTTCCAGCAGGTCTGTTCTACTCAAGTTGAGAACGAGCTGAGCAGAACAGAAACCATAGAAAACAGTCACAACATACAAGGAAAGAGAATTTGTAAAACTTTATTCAATCCAACAAATAGCAGGAAGAAAAAACAAAGATGCAAAGAAAATTCATAAACAGAAAATACAGGTTATTTTTATATTTTTATATTCCCTTCAATCAAGCTTGCATTTTTACATCTGGTAATCTGAGCAACTTCATTGAAGATAACAATATGTAATACAATAACCACTGTTAATTCCCGTCATTTTGTTCTGAAACTCTGTATCATTTGTACTGTTTTTGCTTTATTTTTGTCTATGTTGTTGTTATTTTGTTATTTTTTATTATTCTCTTTAAAATAAAATTTTTAAAAAGTAGAAGAAAAAGCACAAAATAAGATCATATACATGAGTGATCACAGTAACTGCAAATCAATTAAACCTGATAAGTAAAATAAGTGACTTTCCGAAGTCAGTTTTCAAGAAAATCACTTCAAACACCTTTTTTAAAAAGGTTGATGTAAAGGGTAGAAAAAAATGTGCTATGTACAAGACGGTAAGACTGTACACACGCTAGAAAAAATAGTTATGAGGCACACAAGTCCTAATTAGAAGTAGTTTCTTCTTTTAATTGATAAAAGAGGGCGGGGGATATAGCTCAGGGGCACAGTGCCTGCCTAGCAAGCATGAGGTCATGAATTTGACTCCTGGTACAAAAAAAGAAAAGTTAATTGATAAAAGGAAGCCAGGCACGGTGGCACACACCTGTAATTCCAGAACCTAGAGTGGCTGAGGGAGGAGGATCACAAGTTCAAGCCCACCCTGAGCAACTTCACAAGACCATGTCCCAAAATTTAAAAAGGGCCAGAGATATAGCTCAGTATGAAGACTCTGGGCTTAATTTTGAGTACCACATACAAAAAAAAGAAAAAAATGATGAAAGGAATAACCTCACAAGGAAATATCTATAAACTTAACCGTATCATATAACATAGTTTGCAAATTGTTAGTATAAAACAAAATTAAGACAAATTTGACAAAATTACAACCATTGTGGGAGATTTTAAATGCTTCCTTTGCTAATTAAAAAAATCAAGCATATGAAAATTAGGAAGACTTGAATTTAAAAAAACTAACAAGGTTGACCCAATGGGCATCTATGCAGACATGTAGGTAGCCAGTAGCTAGCAAAAACGTATTTTCATGCACATATCTAATATTTCTTTTGAAAAAATAAGCTGGGAAGCCAGACGTTATGCAAAATCTCAAAAGATACCAAGAAAACTGCTATTGTACACAGGCTGTGCCCTAAACCATAACACCATAATATTAGAAATCAGTAATAAAATAGATTTCTAAAAATCAATTTGTATACATGGAAATAAAAAAGCACACCTCTAATTAAAACCTGGACTAAAAATACCACAACGTATATTAGGTAACATTTTGTGTTAAATAATAATATAAATGGCATTTGCCCAAACTGGTAAAGAACAATTAAAGAATATTTGAAAGGAAATTTATAGCATTAAATGCATTTATCAGAAATGCACTGAAAGGGATAAAATGCAAACGTATGACGTGAGTAAAACTGAAGTAGCACGGAGATGTGTAGTTTGTCAGTACTGCATGACAGAGCAGCACATACCAAGGCTCTGTGCAGTTTTTAAGTGTACACTTGAGAAAGATTCACACCAATGCAGCAGTGGTGGTCGAAAACAAATCAGGGAGAGAGCAGTCTTTTATCTGCATCAGTAATCACTTCATTTATTTTTATAAAAGCACAGTAAGACCTAAAACTAATAAAGCGGAAGAGCAATATAAGGGACCATTGCTAAAATCTAAAATCTCCCGTATAACAGTTTTTACAAGTTTAAATCTTTATGTGATTTTTAGTTTTTCAATTCAAATTAACTGTCCAGTACTATATATTTACATTCCAAAAAAGCAAATAACTTATCGAGAGACAAAAAATAATAGTAGCCTGTCAAGGGCTGGGGATTTAGCTCAGCAGCACAGCACCTGACTGGCAAGTGCAAGGTCATGAGTTTGATTCCCGGTACCGGAAAAAAACAAACAAACAAAAAGAAAATAGTAGCCTGTCAAGTTTTAAAAATAAAGACAGGGGCTGGGGATTTAGCTCAGTGGCACAGCACCTGCCTGGCAAGCGCAAGGTCGTGAGTTCAATTCCCGATACCAGAAAAAAATAAAAAATAAAAAAAATAAGAATAAAGACAAAAAACCTGCTATGATTTTAAAGATATCAGTAAGTCATAAACCTTATATATTCTCAATCCAAAAATGAGACATTTAATGATGTTACAAATAAACACAGCTATCACTCTCTGGTGTAAAAGTCCCTCTTCTTAATGCTATGATGAAAGGAATTAAGCAAGTTCTGTTTGCCCAGCATAAGTAAGACAAGAGACAGTTTCAGAGGTCGTTATTCTAGCATTAGGGGTTAGGGGACTCAAAAGAAGCACTGTAGGCCCATTTCATAAACTCAAAGGAAACTGGGCATTTTACTGGAAATGGGACATCTGGGTCAGTGACAGTCTGTGTTCTTTCTGTGTTGGCCTTGCTGGGCGGGTGTGGCCTGTAAGCCGCAGTGCCCGCATACCTGTGGGTAGTGTGAGCACTGAGACGTGCACTGAATAAATGCACAAAAAATGAAAGTGACGTCTTCAGAAAACAAGCCTATAGCCGTGGTAGAAACCTCCGTAACCTCACCCTTCTTCCCTTTCATTCCATCCTCTACCCATCAGATGTTTATTTTCAGGAAATAAAACAAGTTATTTTCCCATAAAAGCAACCCAAAAATATTTTTCCTAATATAACAGTCTCCATCCAAGAGCACACCAAAATGCTTCCCAAAATATGACAACAGGCACCCGCAGGCCACTGAGGCCTCAGGGAGTTGGCCTGCTCACAGCCACTGTGCAGAGGGCTATACTGCAGCAGATGAGGTGAAGTGAGGCCCTACAACTCAAGAAAGAGACTTTAAGAGAAAGGAATATCCATGGTACTGGCAAAATAGGTGTGTCACTGGTCTCTGGGAAGGCAAGACCTACACAGGCATGGCTCCCACAGGCCCACCTTCACAAAGGGAATGGAAATGCCCTACCCTCCTCTCAGGACACGCCTCACGTGGGCACATTGTTTCCAAGACCCCGTTTCAACTGTCTAGGTATGCATCAAGAAGGCAATGTCTCCTCTGGCCTCAACTACTGTCTGAGCACAGATAAAGTCACTGTTCTCTCTGTGTGGACCTGGATGGTGATGGCATGAATGTTCCCCTGGCCTTCACACATGCTGCCTGGGGTCTACACCACAATGCCATCTGCCCTTCAAGACCTGAGCCAGTGAAGGTGTGCTAGACAAACTGTGACGTCATGCCCTGCCTGTCGGCTCATTCCTAGGCCTACTCCTCAATGGACTTGCAATCCCAGAATTCTTAGAACTAACCAGTTATGGCAAATAAATATTACCCAGATAGCCTCTTTTAACAAACTTAAATACACTCAAACCTCTATAGATACTGTCTCACATATAATCCACAGTCATCCAGGTAAACAAAGTCAACATGTCAGACAGTACTGTGTATCAGCCTTTGCTAACTTAAAAGTGTCACAAACAATAAAACCTAACACAGGTCCTGCCAATATTAGTAGACATTTTCAGAGTTTTCTTGCTAACTGGAATATAAAGTGTGTTAGGGATCCCCTATGATCCCCAAGGTGAAACAATAATCAAACACACTCATCTTAAACTAAAAAATCAACTAGCTAAATAAAAGAAAGGGGGAACACAGGGTCAAAACTTTGCTACATATGTTTTAACCTTTTTGGCATGACCTCCAAACAGGTGTTTGGAATGGTCCAGCATCACTTTTAAATTGGGGCCAAAGACATGCTTATATTTCCACAGATAATTGAGAGACATTACCATCAGAGCTGTTCCATGGCCAGAATCCAACCCACCTGCACAACACGCTAAGCCCTCTGCCAAGACCTCAAGTAATGAACCCGATAGCGCATCCTCCACTGTCCTAGGAAGGCTTGCAGCAGACTATTCGTGAGGCTTTCCACCTAGTTGACAGCCACCGTTTGGTTCAATCACCTGAGAATCTTTTCCTTGCAATACTTGCTCTCCTATCAGTTACAGTATGTATTCCTGTGGTTCAGGAAGAAGAGTATTGGGCCTACATACCTAATCCACCCTTGCTTAAACCCCTTATGTGCATGGGCATGCCCCAGAGATTTTCCATTCTATAGAGAGCAATAACCCTACATGTACTATTCTTCCCAGCCCACAAATTTTAATGCACTTACAAGAACAGGCTAAGTTTAACATTGCCTCTCATTTTGCATAGCCACCTTTATGTGCAGCCCATCTACAGCAAAATTCCAGCCCTTGCATGTCGGCTGTGGATCAGACTTGGAAAATACAACTTTCTGAAGGACAATATGTCTTATTAACCTTAAATTCTATTTCCTCAAATAGTAACCCTGTAAGAGATTTTAAAACTAATATTCCTAGCTGTATTCCAGAATCTCATATCCCTCATTATGAGGAAGGTTACTTGGGCCCCTGGAAGACTTGCTGGGATCCATACCATGGATGGGCTATATGCAATTTTAATCATTCTTTTGTAGATTGGTCCCCCAGAGGATTCCTTCTGGGAAAGGATTGAGGTTGGCATGAGATTTCATTTTCAGGCTCTCCCAACTATATCATGACCTCAGAGGCCTTGTCCAATGTTACATGGTCAGGTAGAGGCCTCAGTCCTCCCATCCCCAGACTCATTTTTGGTTTTATATTGGAATTAATGTGCTCATTCTCTCATTTATAATTCTTCTCACTGAAGTGTGTCATAAAGAACTCAAAACCCCACAGTGTCCATGGGCCATACACGCATGACTGACTGCTGGCCACCTGGATGACTCTCCTTGAAAAAGAGCAATTGTCTCCATTTTGGCTAAAACTGGCTCTATTTTCATGGCTAGGCCTTTTCC